ATATATAATTGAATTGAACTCCTGGGTCTTCCAGCAAACATACTTCAAAAAGCACCCAGAAATGGACAGAAACAAAGTATTGGAAGGTTCTGAAGTGGCCAAAAGGATCTAAATCTCATGAAACACCTGTGGAGAGATCTGAAAGCTATTGATGGGAGAAGGAATGCTTCAAACCTGAGASCTGGAGCAGTTTGCAAAAGAWGAGCAGCTCAAGCTTCCAGTTGAGACGTGTAAGAAGCTTATTGATGGTAATAGATTGATTTCAGGTTTGTTCTGAAGGGTGTGTAACCAAATAGGTTATTGGTTGAAGGTGCAATAATTTTGTCTGGCTCATTTTTGCACTTTTGTGTGAAATTTTGTCAGTTTAAGTTTTCTTTACTCTGTTTTATGTGTTGTTCTAARACACACAAAAGAAATAAATGTGTAATTGTAATGATTTTCTGGAAAWTTTTCAGGTGTGCCAACACTTTGCCTTTGTGTCTCACTTCAGCTGCAAGACTGAACTTAATGTCCGGAGCAAGGCAGGTCGTTGAAGAGTTGTTATCAGWCTAATCTTAAAAGTAGACAGAGTGTCAGCCTCATGGACAGAAACTGGAAGTTGGTTCCACAAGAGAGGAGCTTGATAACTGAAAGCTCTGCCTCCCATTCTACTTTAAGAAACTCCAGGAACCACAAGTAAACCTTCAGTCTGAGAGCGAAGTGCTCTGTTAGGAAAGTTTGGAACAATAAGATGTTTAATATGGAGCTTGGTTGTTAAGAGCTTTGTGTGTTAGGAGTAATATTTTAAATTCTATTCTGAATTTGACAGGGAGCCAGTAGAGAATCTAAAACTGGAAAAATATGATCTCTCCTTCCAACTCTCATTAAAACTCTAGCGGCAGAATTTTGGATTAACTGAAGACTTCTTAAAGAGTTTTTTGGATGCCCAGATAAATAAGAATTACAGTAATCCAGTCTAGACGTGATAAATGCATGAATCAGTTTTTCTGCATCATTTTTGGATAAGGTGTTTCTAATTTTAGTGATATTACGCAGGTGGAAGAAGGTGGTCCTGGTAACATTTTTAATGTGGGGGTTAAAAGACGTCCTGATCAAAAATAACATCAAGGTTCTTTACATTAGAACTGGAGGCCAGATTAATGCCATCCAYAGGAGGTGAAAGGCWGCAACGTTGATCCCTAAGATGTTCAGYTCRAAAAACCACAACCTCTGTCTTATCTGAGTTTAGAAGCAGAAAATTCAGTCATCCAAGTTTTTATTGTCTTTGAGACAAGATTGTAGTTTAAATAACTGATTCAATTCATCTAGCCTGGCCCTTGCCTTCCTACGCAGTTCCGCTCAATTTTGCTAAAGTGAAGGACAAGGGTCTGCTTTTTTCCAGGCTAAGATTCATCAGGTTTCATGGATAAATATAACAGAGTATCATCAGCATAACAATGGAAATTTATCCCATGCTGTTTAATAACTTTACCTAATGGAAGCATATATAAAGAGGATTGGTCCAAGCACTGAAACCTGAGGAACTCCATGACTAACTCTGGTGTAAGKAGAAGATTCATTATTAACATTAACAAACTGAAATCTATCAGTTTAAGACTCAAACCATTTTAGAGCTGTTCCTGTATTCCCAATATCAAGTTCAAGTCTACGTAATAAAATGTTGTGATCAATTGTATCAAATGCAGCACTGAGATCTAACAGGACAAGAATGGACACAAGTCCACTGTCTGAGGTCATGAGAATATCATTAGTAACTTTCACCAGTGCTGTTTCTGTGCTATGATGAGCTCTATACCCTGACTGAAACTCCTCATAGATTATTTCTATCCAGATATTCACGTAGTTGATTTGCAACTATTTTCTCAAGAATTTTTMAGATGAATGGGAGATTAGATATAGGTCTGTAGTTGGCCAGAACTCCTGTATCAAGATCGGGTTTCTTAAGTAAAMGTTTAATTACAGCAACCTTAAAGCTCTGAGGCACATAACCATTCATTAAAGAAATATACAATATACAGTAGATATTAATTAAGGGAAATGCTTCTTTGAACAGTCTGGTTGGGATGGGATCTAGCAGACATGTTGATGGTTTGGAAGAAGCTATTATTGTAGATAATTCAGAGAGCTCAGTAGGACAAAAACTGTCCANTAATATTATGACTTTAAACTCGTAATATTATTACTTTAATCTTGTAAAATTACGACTTTATACTAAAATTATGACTTTATTCTCGTTATTTTAAAAAAATCTCGTTGTGTGGCCTTAATACTCCGTCGTAAAAAGTACTTGGATCTAAGCAGTCTGGAAAAGCCGTTTTTGCTTTTTATGTACTTCCGGTAAACGGAACGGTTAAAAACGCGTATGTTTCCGCCCGGACAACCATTTTTGCGGGACGTCAGCAAAACTACACTTATCAATACTGCTCTGTTTTGAGACTTTGTCGTGTTTAACCCATGAAGTTCGTTTAGTACCGACATGTGGGCAGCTTCGGACAGAACCGAGGAGTCGAACACAGCGAACTGGATCCTGCAGCACCCCGTGGTGAGTGAGAGGAGCCGGGGAGGAGAGGAGAGGGTCCCCCAGGTCCCCTCGCTCCGGATCTGTAGTTTATTTACACATGGCAAAATGTCAAGTAGGCTCTGCGGGTGTTTATTGACAAATAAATATCAAAGAGCAATATTTAAGCTACTTTTTTGTTATTGTTGTTGTTGTTACTCTACACTATTGAGGGGGTGGGGGGGGGGTCATCTCAGGATTTATTTATTTATTATTTTTTGGCCTGACCTTGCAATACTTTTTGAGATAGTTGCCAAACCAGAAACATCTACAGTGCAACAGACATTACATCTGTGTTTGAGTTTCATTAAGATTTATTATGAAATCTACCTTTTAAATATAAGGAGGATATTCAGTCTCTGCTTGTCAAAAAGCACAAAGGTGTCACTCGCATCATTAAGCGACTTTTTAAAACAATACTTAGTGCACAGAGACTCAGTCATCATCGCAAAGATGATTCTTGTTTGTCTCCGCCCACGGGACAACACGTTCTGCAGAGACCCCCTACTTGCTGGTTTGTGCAGAACTTGCATGGACACTCACAAAGTACTGCGAGGAAAAAAATCCTGCGACGTTCTCAGCATCCTGCTGCGGGGATATGTATGTATGCATTGCGTTCACATGCGAAAGTTTTACAGATTTGCAATCCAGTATAATCACTGAGCTACAGTTTGGGATGACTGTTTCCTATATGCAAACTTGAAACTCTGAAGTATGAATTTTAAAATCTCAGTCACTGAAATGACACGTATGTTTTATGACAAACACCTGGATACCKTTCTATTTAGGGCCGATTCCATAATAAGACTCCATGAGCACAGATGTAATTGTTCCTTTGTGCAACGATCCCGTAAAGTATTTAGAGGGAATTAAAAATTGTTGCTTGGGAATGCAAAAGAAAAATGTCCCTGTCCATATCAGGCGGATCAGCTGTGGTCTTTTAAAACAAACACAAGATAAAATTGGCTGTAATGTGTTTTGTTCGTGTCTGGCCTGTACAGATATTCCACAGCCTTAAAGGTTGGTGTTATGTTGCACTCCATGTTTGACCAGGATTAAGGTTTCTGAATGGAGGGATGGCTTGACTAG